ATCGAACGGTTTTACTTATTGCTGATAGGATCTATGTCTCCCTGGGTGACGTGCGAATCGTACTCTGGGACGTCGGGATATACCGGAACGTACCCTTGGTATATACTATCTATATGGGTTAGGGTTAGGAGTAGGAGTAGGCGACTCCCTGTTTACGTGGAGTAGGGAAGGTACGGTGCGGCATATTACGATAGTACCAGGGTACGTTCCGGCAGTACCCAGGGAGACATAGACCCTGGCAGCGTTACTATTACTAGCGTAAATCTGTTACATGCTGTCAGGTTATAAAGATGTGCAATGGCTTATGTGTGCTATAAGTTTACACCATACTCGTCAAGCCGGGCGCCTTCCATCAGGTAGCGCGGTTTAGCAATTGGCTTCCAAGTCGTAATATGCCACTGTAGGCAGCAAGGCACCTACGGCAATGTTTTAGATTAGCAAGAGACGACTGTGTAATGATAGATGAGCATAGTATATATTCAGGAAGTAGATATAGGAGCGAGACCTGTGACATCAATTAACCAGGGAATTCGTCCTATTTACTTAGCCTTATATTATACTACGATATTACTACGCGTAACTCATCACTTGAGCTCAATCGGACACAGTACTTCTACCCATCTTCGGTGACGAATCGTTTCTCGTAGACACCCGCAATCCGTAGTATACGCCTAAAAAGTCGACCAATTCTCCATTTCTCTGGCCATCAACTCAACCGTCATTGCGCGCCTATAATTCAGACAAAACGGGCAGCAACTGGCTGTGCTTTGCCTCTCTCGGATAGGCTGAAGTGTCGGCGTTTTGTGGCTCGCAGGGAGATTGTGAGATCGGACGCAACAATCGACGCAGCTAATCATTTGGTTGGCGTGGTGACGTGAAGGCATGCCAGGCTAGCTACAAAAGGATGGCCGGTATCTGGTGTACGGCGTATCAAGGAGTTATCTCGCCAAGTGTTTGCATGCTAATCTCCCAGGAGCCACATGCCTCGCTCAGTTAGCAATTAGCGCGTTAGGTAGAATCGCAACTCGTTTGTTTGACATTTATAGCGCGCGCAAGGGTTTGATTGTATGGCCAGAGAATGACGAGAGTCGTGTCGTACGTTTATAGGCGGCTATCTTACGGATTGCGGCAGGGTCTACGACGGCGAAACGATTTCGTTACGATGATGGGCGAAATGTACTGTTGCTCCGAGTTTTGAGCTCGAAGTTGGAATGAGTTACGTCTGTAAGTAAATCGTAGGGATATTATTAAGGCTACGTAAATGGACGAATTTCCCATTGTTTATTGCATGTCACACTCCCCTATTATCTACTCCTGATATATATATATCGATATATATGCTTATTACATTATATATAATATATATTTTACATTATTACATACATACATATATATATATATATAATAATTGCTTAAAAAATTGCTTAAAAGTCCTACAGCCAGAGAGAGTATCACTGAAGATTTCAGTAACGCGGGCAAGCAAGAACACTCATCCTGACATCACGTAAACTCACTGTAGCGATCACAGCAATGCCCAACATCACTCGACGGTCCCAAGCAAATAATAATAACAGATCATTCGATCACTCTGGCGAGCACACCAATGCTTAACATTCTCAGGGTAGTTGAGTGACAACCCTACACAATTCTGTACCCCTGGATTATGACACGAGTAACTGTTTGCACCCAACTGCCAACTACATTAAGGATATAAATGTCACCTTGATCAGTGTGCCGGTTTCATGAATTCCGCCCGACCAATCTGTCCTCATCGTCATGGCGATGAATGATGGAGGCTCCAAGCAGACACAGGCACGGGGGTGTCAGAGATAAATAAATGCCCCTATATTGACCAACAACGGAAATGTAAGTGTTCAATACAACATCACATAGCACAGGTTAGGTTTATGAAATAGCATGACGAGTTTCTTATGTAATCTAAAGAAAAAATTTTGATGAAGGATTTAGTCTAAATAGTATATCTATATTTCTAGCATCGCATCACAAAGAACACATGAGCATACTGGAACCAGTCTTATCAGCCATGTGAAGGATGTAGCGCACTGCCTTTTTTATCATACTGCAAATCTCGGCCACGGTAACTGAAATATAACAACATTTACGCAATCATAATTTAGCTCATTATCAACAATCACAATCTTTATGATCATGTATATATTTTTGGGCAAACAACGCTCCTTACACTAAATAATTCACGTTACAAATTATTCGTCCACTCTACCCATCCTTACGTGTATCACGAGATATCCGCAAAAGGTTTATAGGCCTTAGAATTGTCACACTCAGTTACCACATGGCCGTAAGAATGGATTAATCTTTACTTTACTTACTATATTTAATTAAAAGGTCATTATCACGTTTTAAAACCTTCATATAATATACATTCCGCAAGCTCAAGAATACTGTTTCTATGTAATCTCACCAATAATGTTATAGTGTGACGCTGTGCGTGTTACTAACCACGGATTATTACAAATAATTAGGCTGTTTACCACGAAGGTCATTCCATACCTGCAGGACATATATCATATCCAACCATAGCAACAACAGCTCCAGCCTCTACAAATGCAGTTCCAATGACATTGTAGATGTCAGGTCTGAGGGCATTTACGTAAACAACAGATATCATTAATTTAAAACATTCAAAAGCACTGCATGCATGCACACTCTATCAAGAATACAATTTTGATTAAAAGATCTCTTTCATTTTAATATCCTAGGAATAATAAATTAGAGCATACGGTATCATTATACTCACGTTCCATGACTCCAGTAACCTCCATGGACAAATATCAAAATAGGCGCATCTGTAAAAGATATTCAGTATTAATAAACTAGTATATAATATGTCATAACACTAAAAATAGTAATAATAGTAGTGATATATATAAATGTAGAAATTTCACTGGTGACATGGATACCAGCGTTCCGTTCAGTTTCGATGCATACTGATTGTCAGACCACACCTGATCGACATCATTATCAGTATAATTAGTTATATATGTATGACGCTTGTAAGCTATATATAGTCAAGCATACTGGTGAACAAATTAATTGTACTTACCAGCACTGACACCTTCTGCAGAATACATGTCAATCTTTTGTGCTGGTGATGTTCCATAGACAAAACTCCGCACATTATATTTTTTTCTCATCGCGTCAGAACCTACGAAAATTCAATTTAAAATAAACACTCGCTGTCCTAAGCTAAAAACAGGAATAGCAAATAGTATTATATAGGGTATTGACTACAACTTCAGAACCCATGGTAAGATTTCTTGTGCACTTCTCATTTAACAATATTACTGTCAACTTGTCTCTATTTACTTGCCTTTTTGGAGAGTCGTTAGTGCCAACTCAAGGTTGTCATCACTGGACAGGGGCGTGCCATTTGGCCCCCTTTTATTCCACATTGAGTTAGTATACTGTTGCTGCAGCTGAAATCAGTACAATATACACAGGATGATTTACATGTAAACCAGTGGAAGTAAAACCGATATGTTCACTAATGACGAATGCTGTAACCTGCACAGCAAAGGCAGAGAAGCAGAAATCTGACATGAATTCCTGTATAAATATATTCATCTTCAGAAATGTACAAGTTCAGACTTTCTTATCTATTGTTTGGTATTAGATGTTTATTGTTATTTCATAATAAAGTATTATATTATTTCTTAATCTAAAGGTTAAGGATCATCAGTGTTTGCTAGCTATCTTACTCTTTTATAATGTGTTTGTATTGGCGCTTCAACTGGGTGTGTTTTTGGCAGTGAGAATTCACCAGCACAGCTGCCGGCATCCAACTTTGTTGAGCCAAAGAGGCTCGAGTTTAACCTTGACGCTGATGCCAAGGACGCCATTGAGGCTGCAAAATCCCACATAGATGTGTGCGTTTACTGTCCAATATATAGTCATAGTTATACAGAATAATTGGTACGAATACACTTTTTCTAAAGACAGCAACATCCACTAATAATATTAAACATGTGTCAATAGTAATGATATATTACCTTATAATTATTTTCCCAAAATAATACAATATATATTGCTTTCAGCTAGAATATTCAAGCATGTAGTTTCACAAGTGTGTTTGTGTGTTTGTAGAATGGCAAGCGATCTTGACATGGCGATATTCACATTTGACGAATTCGGTAAAGATGTGCCAAAATCACACAAAATCAGTCCAGATGCCTTCATACAGATGGCTCTACAGTTGGCATTCTACAAGTAAGTTAATATAACGAGTATATGGGGAAATATTATAATTGGCCAAAGATTTTTTGTCACATTTGAGATAGTAAATAAACACGAAATTATCATGATAGTGCATTCCTCATAGCCGTTAATAATTCTACACCATAGCACACCTGTAAAGGTTTGAACGTTTTACACAAGTTGAAATCATGCTCATTGGGAAAGTCGCTAAATTCTGGTTGGTTACGGTTGCAAGGCTGTTTATATTTGGACATGTTTAAAGTGTGTTATTGTGTTACATCACCACATGTACGTTTTTTTTGTCATGTTTTCAGGTTGCATGGCGAGACAACAGCAACATACGAAAGCTCATCACTGCGTCTGTTCAAGGGTGGACGCACGGAAACTATTCGGTCTGCCTCGGTGGCTAGCAAAGATTTCGCGGTGGCCATGGAAGACCAAGGCGTCTCTGTCCAAGACAAGGCAGAGAAATTAAAGAAGGCTTGCGACTGGCATAAAGCCTACACTGTTCAGGTTTGAATTATCGTCATTTCATCTGTTAATCTGATTATCATTGGACGATTGCTATGTAAATGGAGGGCAATAATTGTAGGTAGATTTACTAGGAGGAATTCAAAAAGCTAGGGCCGTGCGATTCCTGCTGAGCAACGTTGTTGCTTTTTTCTAGGCGATGTCAGGGCAGGCTGTTGACAGACACATGCTAGGTCTCAAACTGCTCGCTATAGAGAATGGCATGAACGTACCAGATATATTCATGGACACTGGATACTCACTGGGTAACCACTGGCGGTTATCCACTAGCCAGGTAAATATGAAGATTGCATCCACGTTTGCTAAAAGCATTCTGATATAGGTGTATGCATAGATATGTTCACGTTAACATCATGGGCATACGTACCAAAATGTAAAAATTCCATATCCATTTTCCATTTCATATTTCCATATCTGCTCCTTCTATCTAGTACTTTTATTCTAAGTTCTCCTTGTTTCTAAGTATAAATATTTCTTAATTCGGTGCTATGAAATAAGCAGTTGATACCACTACTTTTGACAAGGTTACAAAAACTGGAAACCTTTTTACTAGGTCCCATCGAAAGCCAACAGCATAATGTCATTTGGTCCGGTTGTGCCTGATGGCTATGGTTTCTGTTACAACCCACGGCCAGAATCTGTGAGTATATAACCAGTGTGCAATTACGGAGGATACACAAGGCTAAGAATGAGACCAATGTTATGCTAGTATATGCAAAAGAGGTTCAACCTTGCTTGAAGATCTGAATATATGCATCTGTATATGAAATATGAATGCAAGTGGTTATATGCATGCAAGTGTGTGAGCATGAAAGTAATTTTAGTTAATATGTGATATCTCACTTGATAGATAGATTTATAATTGTATATTTCATAAATAGATTTATTAGTTATATGCTAAACCAAATGTGGATATGTCCTCCTTGATTCGACACTTGCAATATTGAATAGGGGTGAGCCATGACACTGTAAAACTAGTTGGATAGAATGCATAATCTTGGTGTAAGTGTAGTTACTCTCTGGCCCATTGCATCTTTTTATGGGAGATAGCCATTTTTGACAAGGCTTGCTCTTGACTTACAGATCAACATATGTATAACTGCAAACAACAGCAATCCAAAAACCAGCTCGAGGAAACTAAAGGAAGCCATCAAGCAAAGCCTGCGGGACATGCGAGACACAATGCAGTCAGGAAAGAAACACGACTCAAAACTATAGCATGTGCAATGCAAGTGCAAAAGAAATTGTATATTAATAACTCAAACGATACCCTTAACTTAAGTTTAATATGTTAAACTCACTTAATTAATTAAACTCCTTTACTAAAGAGGTCACATAATTCTTAGTAAGGGAATTTAAAAAATGCCACTTCGTAAGTCTTCTTTGATGTTAAGCATAGTACTGAAATCAGGTGACGCAACAGTTGCAGTGTTCTTACTAACATAATGCTAAGCTATGTAAAAGCTCTGTTCTGACTGGTGACACACATATACTACAGGGTAAAAAATACACGGGAGCGATGAGCGATTCGCTCTTCAAACCTCCGAAATCGCTTCCGTGAGGCTCAAAATAGCTCCCATAAAATTTTTGACGAGAGCTATTTTTCCCACAGACTTGAAAAAGAGCTCCCGTGAAAAAAAAGGAATTTTTCCCCTGCTATACTGTAAATGTTTTCATGTTGGCAATTAGAGAATTATGGCAAGAAATTGAAGTCTGTTCATTAGAGAGTATTTATCGCATAGACAATACCCACAGTACAATTTCAAATCGGAAAGTTGAATTGAAAAAGATCATTAAATGAAATGCACACATGAAATGGCCTTTCTGGTAGTTCATACACTTCTGTCATCTGGGTCACAGAGCAATTAATCACTGTATATATGTAAATTGAAATCAAATCAGTTGTGAAATCCGCACACTGGACAGGGGCGTGACCATTTGGCCCCCCTTTTAATTCCAGCAATTGAGTTAGTATTAACTGTCGCTGCAGCTGAAAATCAGTACAAGAT